AATTACAAAATAAAATAATTATTTGAAAGATGTTCTTTATAAAATGATAAATCTGGTAAATTTTACCTACATTGGATTTTTAAACTCACGACGTTGTGGTACCATTATAAAAACTCGAGGTGTTTTCTCATTCTGAATTTTTATTAACTAAAACTCATATGTTAATAATCACATGATTGAACATAAACAAATGAACAAAAAAAAAAATGCAAATAATAAACACCATTCGTGGAATTGTTTCAGTAAGATTTAATACAGAGGTCTTGACCTCATCTAGTTTCTTATTCATATCTTTCAAACTTATTTTCATTTCTTGATGATATCTTTCTAAGAATAATAAAAATCGTTCCTACATACATACAACAACATAATAATTATCCATATGCAAATTTTATATTTATATTAATTGTAATTCAAAACTCTACCTGTTGTAAATCAACATTCATTTGTTTTAGTTCATCATCTTTTATATCTGGATTAAGTTCTTTGGCCTCTTTTTCAATTTGCATTTTACATTTTTCATGATAAGCCTTCTCTAAAGAAACAAAGAATATAAAAATATTATTATTTATTATCAATGTTTATTATTTATCACACCTAATAAAGAATACTTGCTTTCTTCTACAATGGTTTTATTTTGGGCATGGTTAAAATCATCTTGAGCATCATTGAATTTTGACAATTTCTTATAATATGTTGTTTCCTTTTATAAAAGTTATAACAAACATTAATAAACTTTAAAATTGCAATTGGTTTTTTAATAAAACTTCATTCTTACCTTAAATTGAGCCAATGTCATTCTAAAGTGATTTCATAGAAAAAAGAAAAGGATTAAATAACTGTGTGCATGTGAATAAAAATATAAGAAATTATAAAAGCAATAAATATCAAAAATAGATTTATACCTGTTATTAACATTTTTTTCCAACAATTTCTCAATAACATCAGCAGCATAAGGTTCATCAATAGTAGTTATTGGCAATTTTTTGTCAGGACATTTTTGATCAGCAATATTCCAATAACCATTTTCAATATAGTATAAAATTAATCCAAATGAAAACATGTCCATGGAAAATTGTGCTTTTATCCATTTTCCATCCTCTTCAGCTTGTATTAATTCAGGGCTGCAATATTTTATTGTTGTGGTTTTTGACACATGAGTTTTATCTGCTATACATGCAGAATCAAAATCTATCAATTTCCAATTTTCATCACGAAAATACATTATATTTTTTGGTGATAAATCCAAATGAACTATTTTATTTACGAAAAATGAGAATTAACTTCATCACATAAATAAATGAGCAATTAAATATTTATATTAATATGTGAGTAATTACCTATATTTTTATGTTGACATTCAGATAATGCAGCTACAATATCCTATAAAATATTTTTTAAGATATATGATTTGTCATACATAGCATGTAATATAAATTTTAAATTTTAGGTTTTTATGGAAAACTTACTTTTATTATTGGCATCTTTTCTGCTTGTCTTTGGGTCCATGCCTGGTGATCAAAAAAAGTTTCTAAATCATATAGTGCGCATTCACTAACAACTACTATCTTATGTGAATCATAATCTATAATTTGCATAATATTCTATAATAAAAAAAAGAAAATTTAAATACATATTTCTCTGGTTCATAGTGACACATTAAGAAATTACCTTTGCCCCTTTCAATGAAATCAATGCATCTATTTCTCTTTTATATGAAATAATATCATCATATCCTTTTATAATATAGTATTCTGATTCAATTGGTTTTTTATATGCTTTGAACACATTAAGCTTTCTTCCATAATTAAATTTTCTACATACATTTTATGTATATGTGCACATATATATTATATTTATTTAAATGCTTGTGACAATAATAAATAGTAATAATAATAACTAACAACCAACCTGATTATTTGATATTCATCATCATTAATAATAATATTATTATTAACATTGTTATTATCCTTTTTATTGTCATAACTACCTGGTTCATTGTAATAAACGTTGTGTTTGATGAAATTATTATAATCTGGTGATAAAGCGGAAGGTTGTGAATAATTCATATTTTAAATTAATAAATATTTATTTGTTAAGATGAATTTAAAAAAAAACCAAAAAGATGATACAAAATCGAGAATTCGGAAATTTAACACTAGTACTAAAACAAAAAAATACTTTATTCAAGTTTCACAGAACTTTTTTAGACAAAGTAATTGATAGATAACGAAATTCCCAAACTCTATTGTATATATATATATATCAAAGTTGATCTTTACCTTTCGTAATCTTTTTAGTGAAATTTTTTGTTACACGAAATGTTATACTTCACCAATATATAATTGTTACCTTTCTAAATTGGAAATCAAGTTCAGATCCAATTCAAATCCAGTTTATCACTTGAAATGTTTGTAAAGTTACGTTGCACGATATAAAAAATTAATGTAACATTTCAAATTTCCACTATGCTCTAAAAAGGATCTTTTTTTATTAACATGTCTTAAAAGAAATATTTTGTAGAACCGTAAATGGTTTGTTCGCACACACAATTACATTATTTGGCATTTTAAATAATATTAATATTTCATTCTCAAAATCGATTGCCCCTGATAATCACAATAACTATTAATATAGATGATTTTGACGTGACGTGATAGAAAATTGATCGGCAAATGTAAGAATAATCCTTAATATTAAGTATATACTACGAATAAATAAACGCTTTTTTCATACCCGCTATATAGTAATTTTGTGTATAAATAATGATGCTGAGATGGTCAAACGATTTGTTTTGTTGTTGATGATAATATTGATGTGAACCGGATTAATACTTGGTTGTTATTATTATTAGTAGAAGAAGCTGTCTTTTGTCGTTGTTGTTGTTGTTCATCATTATTGGTAGAAACTAATTTTCTGATTCCTTTTAAACAGCCAATAAAAATTAGGTTTGATCGTGATTCAAGGTTGCTTTTGTCCAATATAACAATAGAGAAAGAGAGATGGAAAAAAAATTAATAAAAGAGAAGCTTTATAGAAAGGCCCAGTATAAGTAGGGCGAGTGAAATGTAGTCTTTTTTTTTCGGGATAGTATATTTTTAGAAATCTTTATTTTGCTCAGAATTCATTCATTTTGTCAAATATGCCGAAAAATTTTTTTTGCGGATTATCTATATTTATTTACACCAAACATAATAGTCAAAAAATTAAAAATTTTATTATCCCAATCACGTTTACTTATATTAAATGTAGTATATAATATACCGAATACTTGAATATAAAAATAAAAAATAAAAAAAATAAAAAAATGTTTGACTCGAGAATTGACCACAATAGCAAATTTTAACATCCTTTGTGGTGTAAGTAAAAAATATGTCTCATGTTTAAATCGACCGCAAATGATATCGAAAACATTTCTGAGCCTAGTTGTTTTCAGAGTTTGCCATATCATTTCTCAATTTATTGACAAAAACACTGAACGGATTGAATTTTGAAAATCGTTAAAAAAATTGTAAAATTTTAAATTGCAATGTAAAGCTACCTTTTATTAATGAATTAAGTGAAGAAGAAGATGGCGGTAGTGTATTTATCTTTCAAGAAGATAATGTACAATGCATATGGAAAGGAGATAATAACAATATGGTTCTCTCCGTCCAAAGTCCATATCTCAATCTTATTGAAAATTTTGGTAGGTTAATCAAAAATAAGACTGAATTATTTAATTTATTGAAAGAGGAATGGTTTAGTACTAGTCTAGAAAAAATTAATAATAATAAATTAATAGATAGTATGTCACGAAGGGTTGATACTATTTAAAAAAGTAGAGGAAACCCAACAGGTATTGATTTTGTTTTAATAAAATACAATTAATTTAAAATAGTTTCATATATTTTTTGATGCCTTTTATGTTTCAAATTAGTGTTGCTAGTTTAACATTAATGTTGACGCCAAAAAATTTTTTGAATAGGTTTTATGTGAATCAAAAGGAAACCTGACTTGGTTGGATTAGCCTAGCTATTGATTGACCTATAATGATAATGATAAATTTGTTTAGTTTGATTATTTATGCTGGCTATGAAATGTGAAATTTCTTGGCCCAATTTATTTATAAACCTTAAATTGACTAATTATAATTGAATTAACTTAATATGTTCAAGCCACCATTAAGCATTTTTAATCTATTTATAAAATTTTTTATTTATTATTATTACCATCAGGTTTTTTCCAAATTTGGATACTGTAATGACCAAAAATCTAGATTCATTGTTGTAAAAAATGTTTGGCTAAATTTTATGCAGGTCTTTTCATATATAATGCTTTTTTTATGGAGAAAAATAAATGGGTCAGTACAATTAGGGCTTCTATTCGTAATACAAATTCTTATTCGAGTTATTCGTAATACAGGTGACCTTTAATATTAATTCGAATTAAAAAGTTTATTCGAATTAAAAATTTAATTCGCTTTATTCAAATTATTTGTTTTATTTGTTTTATCTTGGGTTTGTTCATTCATTTTATTAGATTATTTGGAATCATGGGTTGTTCAATTACTTAAATATTCAAACTATATATACAACAAGGTTTAATATTGATTTTATTATTATAAAAATTGAAATTAAAAATGAAACTAATAAGGAAAGACTGAAACAAGATTCATGTTTCTTTTAATAAATAGCAATCTTTCCAGTGAGCTTGAATTTAAACTGGACCTTAATTATTTGTTTTATCCGAATTATTTTTTTCAATAAACAACTTATTTTTATTAAAATTGCATAACATATTTGATCAGCATATTTAAATTTTCATAAATAAAATCTTAACCTTAAGGAAAAATACACACAATATATGTGTAAAATATCATTGAATGTATTATTATTATATTACAAAAAAAAATTTATAACTAGAATACAAAAATCAATAATTAAATTAAATATCTAATAATTTATATAAAATGAATATTTACATAGATACATGCATGTATGTGTGTATAAATAATAAAATCAAATTTTTTGTTGACCTTCTTCATCAAGCCATTTATTTAAAATGATACCAAGTTGATTGAGTTTAAGTGGTTTTGTAACGTAATCGTCCATACCACTTTCAAGGCATTTAGCTTTTGTTCCTTCTGAAGCTGAAGCAGTTAATGCTATTATGGGTATATTTGATGCTGGCGGTTTCATTAACTTTATTTCTTTTGATGCATCAAATCCTGACATTATAGGCTAAATAAACAAATAAATATTTTTTTAAGAATATATTATATATATGTATATATCTGATAAATATAATTTATATTATTTACCATAGCACAATCCATTAATATTAATGAAATCCTTTCTTCACCATTGGAAGAAGAAAAATTCTCATTTAAAAATTCAGATTTTACTATATCAACAGCTTCTTGACCATTAGTTGCTGTTAATGAAGGGTACCCGAGCTTTATCAATTGATGTTGAATAACTCTTAAATTGATTGGATTATCCTCCTGCATAGAATAATAATAATTAATAATTATATATTTATAATAATTTATCTATTTATCAAAAATAACTTACCACACATAAAATCCGTTTTGTCTTGGTGACTACTCTTGATCTTGATTTTGCCAAGTGATCTTCATCATTATCAATTGACGACTTTCTTTTCAATAAACCGTCCTTATGGTTATTGGTGTTGTTGGTATCTTTATTTTTGATTTTTGATTTTTTTTCTTGTTCTTTTTGTGCTTCGTTATGGTCAGCAGTTTTAATATTACCATTGATGGCTTTATAATCATCTTTTTTACTAACATTATTGACATCGGCACAACTTACACTAAAGCCCCCTTCAACATTAAAACTAGAAGAATTATTTAATTTATGAATATTTTCATCAGCATTGATACCGATACTATTATCAATATTAATATCATCTTTATTTTCATTACTATTGTTGTTATCATCTGTGATCACATTATCATCCATATTGTTAACATCATTGGATTGATTCTGCTGATGTTGCAAATTTTCTAATTTAATTTCATTCAATTTGTTATTTATTGCATTTGAACTCAAAAGTGATCGATCATGATGATTATTATGATCCATGCTATTACTGAACGATTCTGATATCGTTGGATCATCATTATTACTGTATGGTGACGATGATTTAAATAATTCATTATTGCGTAAACAAGCTAAAAATTTATTTTTCATAACTGGTTTACACAGTGCAACTTTTTTCCCGTGAATATTCGACATCATTTTTTTACTAATTATTCTACCACTTACTGACCAAAAAAGCATTATCACAACATAGAATTGACTATCACCATCACTACAATCTCCAGGGTTGTTTTGTTGATTTAGAGAACTCAATTCATTTATCAATTTTTCTTGTTCTTTATAAGTTTCTTCTTTAACGTTAACAAAAACCATATCATACAACGGCCTGTTATGACTCTGTCTCCATTTTTTCGATTCTTCGATACCTTTCTCTATTATATCAAATGCAACAACTTTTTCAGAAATTTCGCCAAGTATTTTAATTAAACGATTTCTTGATTTTGCAATATGATCAATTATTAAAACTTTTTTTGATCGAAGAGATGATAATAACTCCCTATCTGTTGTCGTTAGAGATGATAACGACGACGGTGACGATGAATACATTGCTGGTGTGGTCGGCACTGATGATAGTGGTGATGATTCGATAATCCATGTAAACCAAAATGTACTACCTTTACCAAGTTCACTCTCGACACCCAATTTACCACCGTTAATTGTAACCAAATATTTACATATTGCTAATCCAAGACCTATACCATCTTGTGGTCTTGTCATTGATGCGTCACATTGGATAAAACTTTCAAAAATATGCTCAAGGTTTTCTTCCCCAATACTATAAAATAATAATAATAAATTTGTTAAAATTGGTTGATTGTTAATAATTTATAAAATTGTATTTTCTACTATTTAACACTTACCCTATGCCAGTATCAGACACTTTAAATAATAAAACATCTTTTTTTTTTTTTTTAATATCGCAATAATTATCTATAAATTTTAATCCATTTTTATTTTCCGAGTTTTCCTCATTCATCACTGATACTTCAACTGTAATTTCTCCGTTTTCTGTAAACTTGATGCTAATTTTTTTTTTAAATAAAATGTATGAATATGTATATATATTTGAGAAATAAATATGAAGCTATGATTTTATAATGAATAACTTACGCATTTAACAACAAGTTCATCAAAACTTGTTGTAAGCTAGAAGGTGCATTATACATAAAATATTATTGTAATGTTAATATAATCCAATATATCTCCATCAAAAGTATTAAAATATTTACCGTTCAGGATCACTTTTAATGGATTTTTCAATATCAAATGATCCATAGTCTAAAATCAACTCAATTCCTTTAAGACCAGCACGTTCACTAAACATCTCAATTGTTCTCTCCATCAAATCAAATACATCAAAAATTTTATTTGCCAAAGAAATTTTTTGTGCTCCCATCTTCGCTGCATCCAATATGTCATTTATAACTGATAAAACCACATCTGATGCTCGAGTCATAATTTGTACCATATCCATTTGTTCATCAGTTAAGGGTGTTTCTTCGAAGGCTGATAACACTCCAATTATTGCACCTAATGGTGTTCTTAATTCTAAAATATGGTTAATAATAATAATAATAATTATTATACTTGGTATTATTTATAATAAATTAACTATAAATAAACAACTGTTTAAAAAAAGTGTATGCATACCATGAGAAGTATTGGCTAATATTTGATTTTTAGCATCACTCGCAACTTTGGCAGCTTCAATTTGAGCTTCACGTTTCAACTTTTCTTCTAATAATTTGGAATGAGTAATGGCCAAACTTATTTGATTGGCAATTTGCTGTAAAAATATTTTTTCACTATCGTTGAAATTCCTATGCGCAGGTCGATGAAATGATATCCAACCCCATCGTTTCTTCTTCACAATTATTAATATGCAATATAATGATACACGTTCTTTTAAAAATGAGAAATAATAATTTGGCATTTCAAATTG